TAGTAATATTTTACTACGCCTTTACGAGGAAAGTGTTTACTACGGCATTACGAGGAAAAGTACTTTTTCCTCGTAAGCTCCTCGTAAATTTACTAAGGTCTTACGAGGAAAGTGTTTCCTCGTAAGTTTTCGAGGAGCTTACGAGGAAATTTGCTTTCCTCGTAAGATCCTAGTAAATGCTTAGTAAATTTACGAGGAAACATTTTCCTAGTAAAATTTCCTAGTAAATGCTTTGTTTTCTTGTAGTGATATGTGGAATATTGGTAATATATTCAATTGAAAAAGTATCCTTTATATACCTAAGAGTTTAGGAGTATTGATTTTGTAGTTTAAATCAATGATATAATATTTTTATTAAAATTAAAATGGAGAGATAATCAAGGATATCTTGTTGGAAAAATAATAGATAAAAACTATAGGTTTAAATAATGCAATGACAAATATCTGTAAATACTTCCAAAAATCAAGGGGACTTCAAAAAAACACGTGTCATCCGCCACTGGCTTCTTGTTAGGGTTAAAACCATCTAATGGAAACCTCCTTCGTCCATTCTTGAGCTGACACGGCTCCATTTTTCTTCACTCTTCTTTTCCTGTAACATTCTCTAAACTCCGACTTTGTTCACAGGGGACTTGAGATCATATTTCGATTATTTACTAAATAAATTTTACTTGGAATCAGACCCTATCTATTGGTTGATGATGCCATTTGTATCTGAATGGGCAACTTGTTCGGTATCACTAGATCACATGGGTATATCTATCTCTGTTTATGCAGTTTTGATAAGAAATATCTCAAGGAATAAACCCCTTTTCTAAAGGTTTTTCTCTTTGATGTTTACTTGTCTATATCAAATTATTAGACACAATCTTCCGAGAAACCCAGACATGAATAATTTTTATTTAGTAGAGGTTCTCATTTCATTTGATTCTCCAAACGATTTACAGAATGTTGTTATCAGATCCCGAAGAACAAACTATTGTGAAACACTCAGTTAAGATTTATAGGTGGTAACTGTTATCATCTTTAGCTGCTGCTATTTATCTTCCGTTCGTGTTCATTTCCCAATTTGCAGCTTGTTGGTACAGCCTTGGCCTTCTTAGCTTTCTTTGTCTGTTGTTGCATGTCTTTTCTCGTTGCCTGAAGCTGCAAAAGAAACATGAACCACGTTACGGCTTCCGAGTATGTTTGACAATGTATGAGAAACTCTTTTTGATTGTGTGGTTTTTGTCTTTACCCTGTTATTATGTCTTCTCTGTGTTTTGTTGATTGGAACAGATTTGCGCTTTGATATGGTAGCTTTAACACTGCTCTTTTCTCTCTGCAAGTCTTCTGATATGCTTTCAAATTGGAGAGGAATATCGTTGGAGGCACAGCTCTCCAACTCCCCAGCTATACTAAAAGATCTATTCCTTCTAACCAAACTTTGAATTTTCATCGTACTATTTGCTTGGATGTTTGTTGTGGGCTCAATCTGAGTTCGGTCTGGTACACGAGTTGCCATCCAGCGCTCTAGCCAACTCCAACCGATGTTTGATTCATCTTCTTCACTGTTGCGTTCTACTTGCTTCTTCTTTGTGCAAATCCTTAGCTTTTAAAACAACTGTTTTTACTATTTGAGCAAAAACATCAGAGATCAATTGTTTCAGTTCTTTCTTTACCTGCTGTGAAAATGCGTAAGCAAGTGCTCTCTCCCGTTTTGTCATTGCTTCAATTCTGCTTTGAATCCTCGACTTTGATATGGTACTGCACACTGTGCTATCATCCCAGTCTTCCTGTAAATGTGGTCATGTTATGCTTTTCTTCTCTTTTTTTTTTTTTTTCTAAACATTGGTTGGTTGGTTGGTTGGTTGCTTACCTTTATCCTCAGAACTTGAGTGTTGTTCTTATGCAATGTTCTTACTCGTTTTGTTCTAAAGAAAGGTGCTTTCACGGAACCACATGTCTGAACTTCTAGTGATGTCCCCATGGATATTTTACCTTGTGATTCTTCTCCTGAGAAGCTCTCCTTATCACACGTTTCTTCTACTTCTTTGCTCCCACGTTTTCCCTGAAACACATCCTAAGAATCATGCATTGGAGTGGACATAACTGAAGAAGACAAAGAAAAAAACACAAACCAGGTAACTCCTGAATGCTGATTGGATTATGATTGCAGCGTCTTCTTCTAGAAACAGCTTAGAGATTGGATGCTTCTTTGGTATGTGTGTCTCTGTTGCCTCGCTTTGGTCTTCTTTGTGTAAAGGCTGAGTTACTGAAACCTCTGAGCTCTTACCTGAAACACAGTCCTCCTCCTCATCAAGATGTTTTTTCACAGAAGCTGAATCTTGGATTGCCAGAACCGAATCACAAGGTTCTGAACTCAGCTGATGAGACATTGTAAGAAGAAGAGGGTCTAAAGAATCTTTTATTGACCCTGAGTCATCCACTGCGAGAACAGAGTTGAATTCATCTCCACAAAGGTATGATCTTACTGAGCTCCATCTTTTCTTCTCTCCTAGATTGCTTCCTCCCTGAAACATTACAACATTCAAACATTATAAAAATAAATAAGAGCAAGAGTGATGGGTTTCTTGATGAAACTTTACATTGTTGTTGTAGTCATGAGCCCCAAATGATTTGTTTCTGAAGAAAATGCTTCTCACAAGTCCTCCTGTAACACCCATCTCTCTCTCTCTCTCTCTCTCTCTCTCTCTCTCTCTCTCTATGTTTTCAGAAAAGTCCTGGATAAAAGGAACTTGGGAATTGAGAAATGGGAACACACATGTGAGGTTGATGATTATATAAAAGCTGGGTGAAGAAGAAGAAGAAGAAAAAGAAAAAGAAAAGTTGAATTATTTTAGAATCAAAACCCACATGACTAATTTACAAGAGTACATGTTAAAAAAGGAGATTCAAAGGAAAAAGAAACCTGAAGTATAGCGTATAGTGCAATAGTTATGATTGTGATCCAGAAGAAAAGCATCTGTGTATTTTAATTAGTTTTGATCAAGATCGTGAGTTTTTGTGGTCTCTACTTTAGGAAGTTTGCACATGGAGAGCATCGCATTGGTTCTTTTCTTATGCAAACGGCAATTTCACTCAATTCACCTTCTTTCTTTATTCCCTTCACTGTCACATTGCTCTCTGCTTTTTACTTTTTTCACTGGAAATGGAAAGTTCGTGGTACGGTTTAACTCTGTTTTTTGTGTGTGTGCCATGTAGCTCTCTTTTTTCTTGTCGGCAACCCGTTTTTATCAAGATTAGATAATTAACCCATTTTGAAAATGCAAAGATACTAGATTTGCCCCATAAGGGCAAATACAAACTCACGAAGAGTTCAAGAATCCATAGGATTAACACACTGCAAATACAAACTCAGAAAGGGTTCAAGAATCCATAGCATTAACACACTCCCTTCTGTATAGAGAAATTCGTATATGAAATGACAAATATTGAGTCGAACGGACTTTTGTTTTTGTCGGCCAATTTTATCTATTAAGCTCAAAGTAATACAATAAATATTGATATAATGAAATTTTATGACAACTAAAACACAACATAAAGTGAATTATTGATTTTAGCTTGCATAGCTAATCCATCCACTACAGAGTTGGCCTGTCTCTATTTATGAACTGAAAACTGGTAACAGAACACCACCTTAATATGCTAATCTTCTCATTTGGTATATAGTTTCCTTTAAAGCCATGGCTTGTGCTTCAAGAATGGTGCCAGTGACTTCTATTGATACATATCCTTTAATATAGCTTCCTGCCAAGTAGTGATGTCATTAACAGAAGCAGGAAGTCTTCTGATGGCGTTGCCTTGTTGTCTTTCATAAATCTTTCCATAGATTTTGCACTTGGCCACATATGGTACTCGAAGATATCCAGACTGAACCATCTTTTGGCATTGTAAATTAAGTCAGTACGAGCTTTCCATATAGGGAAACTTGACCCGTATGACACATTTTATTCTTGATAGATAGAAGAAGTGATAAGTTATATCGACCTTGATGAACGCTCCTTGAAGACAGTTCCCTAACTTGTTTAGCTAATTGTTCCATTCATTCTGTTTCCAATCCGAGTAAAGGTACCTCCATAAGTCTGAACTTCATTAAGACACACACCCCTGAAATTTCCAAATTTTCATTCTGGCTTGAGTAAGCGACAAATATGAAATATATTTTACAGTAACTAACTGTCAAAATATGAAACATATTTTAAATTTTAATGATTTTAGTTAGATCTAAAATAAAAAGAAAAATATCAAATCAATTAATAGCACTTACAAAACAATCTAAATAGTATTACAAATAATCATTTACAATAACTAACTGTAAAAATTATAGAAATAGTATTAATGTTTGATCAATTCCTTTATATAGTTATAACTACTAGATTTTTTAGCCGTGCTACGCGCAGCTAGTCTATCAAACAAAATTTCTAATCATATTATTTTTTTATATATATATAATATATTGTACAATTAAACTTATAATTAAAAATAGAAGCAATAGAATTTTAAATTAAATAAAAAAAGATAACGATTGACAAAATCATTATACTTAATGCAAGTAAGAGTTTCATAAAAAAATACTAATAATGACCAATTTTCTTTTACAAAATATAGATTTTCTAGTTTTTGTAAACAAAACCCTTATTTTATTTTTTTTGTATAAATAACTTACATAATAATTAGTGTAATATTTTAATATGTATTTTTATATTTTCTATCTTCAAAATGTTGGTAGAAAATAATCACTATTAAAATCTGAAAATTAAGTATATAAAATGAATTGACTTTTATTTAAATTTAAAAGGATATTATATAAATTTAAGATTATATATATTTTGTCGTTATGAATAATTTTTATTTATTCTATATGTTTATAAACTGGATGATATTAATTTATCCTTGCCATCAATGTTTTGAATACCAAACCAAAAATTAACTTGACATTGCAATTAGGTCAATGGCCACACTGGTCCAACTAGTTTGTAAATTTAATTTAATTTTAAGTTAGGTATATATATATGTACAACTATAAAATTATTTTTAAAGACTTTTTATCATTGTTTGAAGCTAAAATGATATAGAAATAAAATGAAAACTTCAAAAATAATGTAAAAGATAATGAAAATAATTTCTTTAAATCGATATTTAAATCAATACAGGTTTTATGAACATTTTTTTTTTAAATTTGCATTTTTGAACTTGAATTTGGAAAAAAGTCAGGGTTTAATATCATACTGGACCATCGGTTTTAGCGAGTAACCGGTTCTCAAACCGAATTTGTTGGTTTTTAGCACAACTCAAAATTGTTTAGAAGAGAAAGAGTCATAAAACACTTCTTGTCACATAGCATTGCTTTTAATAACAAACAACAAAATCGTCTTAGTAGACATATTTTTATTATGAACTTATGTCAAAAACCATATACATATTTAATTGAGGTTGTTATTTATTGTTTAACCATTTAAAAAAAAATTGCCATATTTTTTTTTTCAAGTTTCTAAAGACAATGCAATATGAACCAAATTGTACACATTGAATAGATCAAAATATAACTTTATAACAAAGACATATAAATTTGTGTGACCACCATTATTATACATTTAAGAAAAGATAGAAATTTGTGTGACCACCATTATTATATAAAAAAGAGATTCATATTCTCAAGCTCAAATGACTATCTTTTCTTGTTTAAAAGGAAATGATAATTTAGTAAATAAAATTTCATGGGTTGAACTTTTTGGCTCAACTTGCATAATATTCTTATTTTATTACCAACTTATGTATTTAAATAACTGGTTGAAATAGTAATAAGCAAATATTTGTGAATATTCTTTATGTCCTATAATATTCGGTTTCTTTAGATCTAATACCCAATCGTTATAAATATAAACTAATCGTTTTCATGATTGTGTATAATTTTCTACAAAAGATACTAAAATATATTTTGAAACAATAAAAATTTAAAGATTACTTCTAATTTATAATATATTAATTACTCTTTGATATGTTAATGTATATAGTGTAATCAATTCTCAAAAGCATGAAGACGTACGTGAAAAGAGTATAGTATTCACTACATGTGTTTTCAGGAATTATGGTACTAAAACTGTTTTAGTGTATATTTAAATACTATTATCAGTGTCTTTAATAGTCATTTAAATGCATGTCATCTGAAAAAAATAAAACACATTTCACAACTTGTGCTTACAACTTTCACACTAAATATTTAAAAACATTTCATATAAGAAATGATGTTATACTACCAATGAACCGATACAATCCACTGTTGCTTAAGTTTTGTTGGTGGTGGTTGGCATATATAGGGTGGGAGAAGTTTAAATGCGAAGGCGGCGAACCTTAAAGGCAACGAAGAAGTCAAAACGACACCGATATGACCTCCTTCCTTTCTCTTTCTCTCATCTCTTAGTGCGTTGATTACATTTCCTAGAGTAAGAAGACCCTTGTTGATGTGGATTCATGTTACAGTAAACGAATCTCCCAGCTTAGTCAATCTTTACAAAAGGAAATAAGACTAACATAGAACATAAATAAAGGTGTGAGATAACCTTCTTTCAAGCACATCCGGTCGGCTACGGTTCCTTTTGCACGTTCTGACCCAGCAAAATCAACCAAATGAAGCTTTGCACATAGTATATCTTCACCCGCATCTTCAGTTGTTGTAGAAGAACCACTGAAATTTTTCGTTTGTTTCAGAGTGATAGTGAAGATTGCATGAGACCGACTAAAAGACAGAAAAACTTATGTAAGAATATTTAAAGAAACATGAAAGAAATCTAATGAAACCATGTAAAGTTCATAAATTTCACCTTGATTGGCTATTCACGTTTGTGCTATCAGCAGCACAAGACAAAGATTCTCGAGCTAGATACGATCCCATCTCCTCTTTTGATTTCACTTCTGCCTCAGTAACACCAGCTAAAGTGATTCCTCCAGTGTGGGAACCAAAACTCACACCGTTAATTTCCGTAAATTAGGGAACGTCAAGTTAACCTAACTTTCCAAGAGGTCCCGGCTATATGCTTAACCACACGCACGCAACCAATCAAAATAAAATAAAAATAGTAAAGTAATATGAGAATCAAAAAGATAGCAAAGAGGTTTCTTATTCCGATTTTGTGTAAGAACAGTACAACGAGGTGAAAGCCTTGGCTACAAGAGCTGACGGCGAGTTTCCTAGTTCTAGCAACCTCAGACTAAAACCCTAGTTCAGATGCAGCTCGATAACAAAAACGGAAAATTGCCTAAATGCTCTAAGTTTTTCTGAGATGAGAGCTCTGAAAATCCCCTCTTGTTCTTGTCCTCGACCTTCTGCTTATATACTCCTTCTCTAGGCGGTTGGTCTTTCCTTTTCCACCCGATTCGCGTTTATCGGAAATCTTCCATTTATCTCGATCTTTCATTTTTCTTCGGAAAAATTCTATTTTATCTTCAAACTTGACATTTTCCTACTCTTGTCTAAAGTCGTGAATAGGACTTTATCGCGTCTTAGGACTTTCCGAGCCGTTCTGCGATTTAGCCATTTTACGACTTTAGGTGAGATCGTTTCCTAATATGATGCTGTTTTTATAAAACATCTCTAGTTAATCGTATAGTTTGGCAAAGTTCGATGTTTCGTTTAACCATAGCCGTTTTATACGATTTACTCGAGGTTTTAGGAGCAAACAAGTCTTTAGCGGTTTTTTATAAAA